TTCCCTCAACACTGTCAAACTATTCACTAAGACTGCATTACTATTACTATTAGTATTCTCATCGTTCCTATCACCCATCTCCTCCCACTTATGACTCCATGACTGTAACTTTGTTGCTTGTATCCTTAAGGTTTATATTGATATTGATTGTTTTCCTAGTATGATTTGATTGCTTATTTGTACCCTATGACTATCATTAAGTGCTGTACCTTATGATTCTTGACAAATGTATCTTCTCTTTTTATGTACACTGAGAGTATCTGCACCAAAGACAAATTCCTTGTGTGTCCAATCACACTTGGCCAATAAAGAATTCTGTTCTATTCTATTTGGTTTAGCCTGTGAACCCATGGGGGTTTTTTTATAAAAACCAGCTAAACAGAAGGGCACTATTCAATTTTCATCTAGAAATTGCAGCCTAAATTGCAATGATTGGCTTGTAGGTCTCAAGGTGAACTGAAGAAGCTTCTTAGATGAGAATCTGTGGAGAGTCCGATGAAGCTTCTTGGATGAGAAGGGAAAGGTCTTCTCATTCAATGTAGAGAAAAGTAAAGCCTTAGGCAAGAAAAACCAAGAGTACACATATAGACTGGGTGAAGCCAGGCTTAAATTTGGATGTTTTTTTAATCTTTGAGCCTAAATTACTTAATCTGTTTCTTAATAGTTTTTAACTTATAAGTATTTGTATTTATTATGGCTGTTCACCGCCCTGAGCCTTCGGGAGTAGGGCGGTATACAAATATGAAAAATAAATAAATAAATAAATAAATAAATAAATAAATAAATAAATAAATAAATAGCAGTAACTGTGAAAGGGATCTCACAGTGGACAACTAGCTAAATAGGAGCCAACAGTGTGCAGTAGCAGCCAAAAAAGCCAATGCAATCCTAACTTGCATTAACAGAGGGATACAATCAAGATCAAGGGAGGTACTAATACCATTCTATAAAGCCTTAGTAAGACCACACTAGAGTACTGCATCCAATTTTGGTCACCACATTATAAAAAAGATGTTGAGACTCTAGAAAGAGTGCAGAGAAGAGCAACCAGGATGATTAGGGGACTGGAGGCTAAAACATACAAAGAACAGTTGCAGGAACTGGGTCTAGCTAGTCTAGTGAAGAGAAGGACCAGGGGTCACATGACAGCAGTATTCCAATATCTGAGGGGTTGTCACAGAGAGGAGGGGGACAACCTATTTTCCAAGGCACCCGAAGGCCAGATAAGGAAGAATGGATGGAAACTGATCCAGGAGAGATTCAACCTGGAAATAAGGAGGAACTTTCTGACAGTGAGAACAATCAACCCTTGGAACAGAAGTTGCCTTTGGAAGTTGTGGGAGCTTCATCACTGGAAGCTTTCAAGAAGAGACTGGACTGCCATTTGTCAGAAATGGTGTGGGGTCTCTGCTTCGGGGGGTTGGACTAGATAATCTATGAGGTCCCTTCCAACTCTGTTAATCCAATCTAATCTAATCTAACCTTCCTCAAAAAAAAAAAACTGCCTAGTTGCCTTTTGAAAAAGCACCTTTGAGACTTCTTAGATGAATAGCCATGATCTGGGTGATGGAGAATCTCCATAGATGATTGGTTCCCTGCAACACCAAATCTGACAAAAGTCAATCCAGACTTGAGGGTGCTCCTAGATTACCGTCTTTGGGATTATCCTTTTTAAAGATAATGGAATGGAATGGAATGGAATGGAATAGAATAGAATAGAATAGAATAGAATAGAATAGAATAGAATAGAATAGAATAGAATAGAATAGAATAATAGAATAGAATAGAATAGAATAACAGAGTTGGAAGGGTCCTTGGAGGTCTTATAATCCAACCCCCTGCTTAGGCAGGAAACCCTACACCACTTCAGACAAATGGTTATCCAACATCTTCTTAAAACTTCCAGTGTTGGAGCATCCACAACTTCTACAGGCAAGTTGTTCCACTGGTTAATTGTTCTTACTGTCAGGGAATTTCTCCTTAGTTCTAAGTTGCTTCTCTCCTTGATGAGTTTCCACCCATTGCTTCTTGTCCTGCCCTCAGGTGCTTTCGAGAATAGCTTGACTCCCTCTTCTTTGGGGCAGCCCCTGAGATATTAGAAGACTGCTATCATGTCTCCCCTGGTCCTTCAGTGGTATTTATTTCTCTCCCTTCCCTTGCTCCTGGCTCAGTTTACTTTTCCAAAATAAAGGGAGAGGGTTGAACCTTGGATCCGTTGTCCACTTTTGTGGCGTGCAGGCAGGAAACGCATAGCTATGTTAAGGCAAAGGAAGGGGGTAAACAGCTTTCTCTGTGGTGTGTAATTGGTGCATACTTTTGGGGTTGCAAAGAATAGAAGAAAGAGGAGAAGGAGGGCCGGAGAGCTGGCTAACAAGGAACACATGGATATTGGCAAACTAAACACAGCTGGACTCAGCGGTGCCTCTGACCACCCGTCCTTTTGCTCTTAACATCCTTCATATCATACTGTTATTGTCCTGGCCCCGGATTTCATGAGCCGAGAGGATGTGAATGCCACTTGGGACACAGAAGCCTGGATCTCGTGACTAATGAGAAATCAAAACAAGAATTTCCGCTTTTGCTCAATCCTTCGCAGTCTTTCTTTGGAGTCATTTTATCTCGGCAAGTTCTTCGCGAGGATGTTGCCAAGGCCGAAGATTTCTTCTCTTCCTCCTCCCGTTCTCGGAAGGAGACACATTTGAACTCAACAGACCTCCCCAATTAAATAAAACGAGTTGAGTTTTACATAGTTCAGCCAGCAAAGCCTGGGGCTCTCTCTCTCTCTCTCTCTCTCTTTCATTTGAGGGAGAGAGTACTTTGTAAGCTCTTCCCCTGGTGTGTTCATCTAACACGATTAAATAATTAATCTTATTTAATACCTAGGAATTAATGAGATTACTCTGAATGTTGGGTGTTTTTTTATTTTATTTTATTTTTTTTGGCTTCTTACAAAGAAATTTGGGGAAATCTCTCAGACAACCCTGCCAGCTTCCCTTGCTTCTTTCTCCCTCCCCCTCCCCCCCTTTTCTTTCATATTCTGTCATTTAGATCGTAAGTCTAGGACTGCAGTGGCAGCACCAATACACACCAGTAGTAAATATGCAAGTGATACATGCTAGAATAACAGAACTAAAAGGGAACCACAACCATGGTAGGCCCATTTTTTGTCCTCCCCAGGCTCTAGAGGCTTTCTTGGAGCCTGGGGAGGGAGAAAACAGCCTTCCCCACTCCCCTAGAGGCTCTCTGGAGGCTGAAAACGGCCCGTTTCCCGACTTCTGGTGGGAACAGAAGGCCCAAAAATTAGCTGGCCGCTGCTCGCATGCACGCTGGAGCTGAGCTAGGGCAATGCTTGCGTGCCCACAGATATGGGTCCGTGTGCCATCTGTGGCACGCGTGCCATAGGTTCGCCATCATGGCCCTATAATATTCCAGACAAACAGTTGTCCAAAGCCTCCAATGATGGAGCACCCAGAACTTTTGGAGGCAAGCCGTTCCAGTGATTAATTGTTCTCACTGTCAGAAAATTCCTCCTTAGTTCCAGGTTGCTTCTCTCCTTGATTAGTTTCCATCCATTGTTTCTTCTCCTGCCTTCAGGTGCTTTGGAGAATAGGTTGGCTGGCCCCTTTCTTCTCTGTGACAACCCCTCAAATATTGGAAGACTGCTATCATATAACTCTATAATCCTTCTCTTTCTTGGATTAGACATACCCAGTTCCTGCAACTGTTCATCCCATTTGGTCTTCATTCATTTGGTCTGTGGATCTTCTTTTCCTTTAATTTTTAGGGTTAACCTGTCCATCTCTGCAAACTCTAGAATTTTTTTTGATAATAATGTCATCTACAGGGGTTTCTGGGTTTTTCCAATGTGCATATACAATCCCAGCTGCTGTTAGGATATGTAAAACCAAAATATGTGTTACCCTTCGTTAGGATATGCTTTGAGCCTAACAAGTTGTCCAGGCAATATATGTGTTCTGTGACTTTAATATGAATATGTATTGTGTGACTTTCAAGTTTTCCTGCTGATTCCTTGTAATGCTGAGTCATGCTGTAATTAGTTGTGAACGTATTTAAGAAAGGTACTGTAAAGTATTCAGTTGATGATAAGCTACCATAGTGTGTGGAGTTGCTACCATTGTGCTATCATCGTTGGATGGATCTGCTACCATCGTGGTTTGTGAACCAGAGTGAGTTTGTTATTCTAACCAACTACTGTTTGTGTGGTAAGAAGATATCTGTATCACTGGACTGATTTAACTGGCAAAGACTTGGATTGATTTAAAGACTATGAGATTGTTTTTTCACTATAAAGTAAACTTTTGATAAACCAGTTTGCACATCTCTTATTCATTGCTCTCAGCAACGTTTCTCTGTGCTCTACACTTTGCTGGTTGGTAACACAACAACAATATCCTTAACACCCTTATTATAGTTTCTTGGAAGGACCTCTGAAAGGTTTTGAACACTTGTAGGAAATGGCCAAATTCCAGGTTGGGTTCATCTTTTTCCGTAACGTCAACCACAGACAAGCAACTGAGAGAATATGCCAACTCGGCACCTGCTAACAAAGAAATGTGGCATCTTGCTATTGTTTTTAGATGGTTTCGCCATTGTCTTGATTCGCTCTCTCCTGCTTGGCTGCTCAGCCACGAGGGCATCACAGCTTGCTTCTGATCTTCAAATGCAGAAGAATGTGAGATGGGGCCATGTGCTAGCCAGAAATGCACCACTTCAGTCTGCCGTGTGTACTCTTGTCTATCAAAGAGCCAGCAAGTAGGTAAGTGTGCATTTTTGAAAGAGCTAAGCAGCGATAGGGAAACATTGGTGTGCTCCCTGCTGCGCTGCAGGGTGTTTGATTCATACAAACAGAGCTTGAGTCGCACAATTCAGTGATGCGATATTCTTCCATCTGCAGATTAAAGTGACATTGTCAATGCCGGGAAGCCCAGATCAGATGAGGAGGGGTAGGAAATGCAGTTGGGGACAAGTGAAAGTCCACACTCCAGCGTGTGATCTACAAAGGGCTCTTTCACAAAATCGCATTTAGTCCTCTGATGCTACCTACCATTGAAGCCTGTGTCTGAACAGAGCCAGTAAGTAACTCTTTCCTTTCTTCTTGTAACTTTAGCGATATGTATTCAGTACACAACAGAGGGCCAGAAGAGAAGCAGTGAAGGTTGCCTTTATTTATCCTACCTTATTCATTCATTTGTTTTTAAGTGTTGGTTTTCATCAAACGTCATTGTATTTACACAAAAGTTAGGTCTGTAAGGGGGGTGCATAAGTGCACCAGCGTGCCTACCATCCTTGTCCTAATATTCCTTTTTACTTACTCTTTTCATATATTCAAATTATGTTTATACTTTTACCTGTTATCTTATATATGCTTGACAAATAAACTTATGATTATGATTATGAAATACAAGGAAAAAAAACAAATATTATTCTACACATGACAACTGCGGCAAGATTGGCCTTCGCGCAATGTTGGAGAAGCTCAAATATACCCTCTGAAGATTTAATAATTAAAAAGATATTGGATGGACAAAATGACACTTGAATTGAAAGGATTGATGGACTGGGATTTTTACATAATATGGGAGAAATGGTATAATTGGATCGAAAATAGAAAAAAAAGGAAAATAATAGCATGTAGATTTAGTAAAAATATATAGAGTAGAGGGGAATACTAGTGGGATGATATGTAAATGGTCACAGCTTAACGCATTGTAAGCCGCCCTGAGTCTTCGGAGAAGGGCGGCATATAAATCAAATTAAAAAAAAAAAAAGTCATGCACAAGAGTTGAATAATGATTGTTTAATTGTAAAAATTCAATAAAACATTTTTTTAAAAAAAGAAAGAAAAGGTGGTTATATATTTCACATAGAAATATACCATAGTCATAGATTTTGCTTGGCTTAATTCAGGGGTCTGCAACCTTAAACACTCAAAGAGTCATTTGGACCAGATTCCCACAGAAAAAACAACACCGGGAGCCACAAAAACCTTCCTGTGCCTGACTATTTCTTGAGCGGCCACAAAACTAGCCTATGTAGTTGAATTAAATGTTCTGTTTTCTTTTGAAACTTTTCTTTTCCAGGATTTATCCATGATTGGCCTACCAGGGGTTGAAAACCAGGGCTCAATAAATCACGTGCTGGCGGGTGTCGTACATTGGTCGTTGTGACACATATTTTGAGTGACAGGGAGCCGCAGCAGAGGGATGAAAGAGCCACATGCGGCTCCAGGGCCACAGGTTGCTGACTCCTGGCTTAATTTATTTACATCCACAATATCATCTTGGAGTCATGGTGGCACAGTGGTTAGAATACAGTACTGCAGGTTGACTCTGCTCACTGCCAAGACTTCAATTCTGACCAGCTCAAGGTTGACTCAGCCTTCCTTCTTTTTACTCTTGTATTTTTTTTCCCTGTATGTTATATCATAAATTAATAAAATTGTTATACACACACATACACATACACACACACACACACACACACACACAGGTTGATTCAGCCGTACATCCTTCCGAGGTCAGTAAAACGAGGACCCAGATTATTGGGGGCAGTATGCTGACTCTGTAAACTGCTTAGAGAGGTCTGTAAAGCCATTTAGTCCATAAATCTAGGTGCTATTGCTAACTGCAAGATTTTTCCTCCACTATGTTGCTTCTTTCTTAGCTATCTTTGTTAATTTTAATGACAAAATTTATCATTTCAATATTTCCATCTTGCAGTTTTTAGTCTGTTGTAATCACGTTTGGTTGGGATGGTGGGCTCGGTGGCATATAAATTTAGTGCATAAATAAATAAAAGTAAATAAATAAGCCATCTGGTCATTGTAGGTGCAACAAAGAATGGAGAATTACAAAACATCCATCTCCTGAAAACACATTGCAAGTTCTTCTACAAATATGACCTTATTTATTTGTTTGTTTTTTGTTTGACTGTTTTGCTGCCCTTCTCACCTAGAGGCGACTCTGGGTGGTTTACTAACATTAAGAGTCAATAAAATATTGACGCAATAAATAATCACCATAGTCACAGGCACCCTGAGTGCAATCCCAAAACATCAGAAGCACCACTTGAGAACCATCACCATTGACAAATTCATGATCGATCAATTGCAAAAGGCAGCTTTGCTCAGAACAACCTTACAACCTGCAATGATACTTTTAACAGCATCAAACATCCACATCTGCCTACCCCTATCTCGGGAAGGACTCAATAGGTGGACAAATCCAGTCCAAATATCTGGTTGACTATGTGACAAACGATAGTATGAGCCATGGTGGCACAGTGATTAGAGTGCAGTACTGCAGGCTACTTCTGCTGACTGCTGGCTGCCTGCAATTTGGCAGTTCAAATCTCACCAGGCTCCAGGTTGACTCAGCCTTCCATCCTTCCGAGGTGGGTAAAATAAGGACCCAGATTATTGGGGTCAAGAGGCTGATTCTGTAAAACCGCTTAGAGAGGGCTGTAAAGCACTACGAAGCGGTATAAACCGTATTTTTTGGACTATAATTTAATTTAATTTAATTTAATTTCCAATTTATATACCGCCCTTCTCCCTGAGGACTCAGGGCGGTGTACAGCCAAGATAAAAAACATAGAATACAAATATTAAAAAAACATTTAAAAATATATATAAATTTTGGCCCAAAAGTTAAGAAATCACAGACTGATTAAAAGAATTTAAAAATTTCTTCTTAAGCCAACCCGGCTTGCTGGAAAAGATGGGTTTTAAGGGAACGACGGAAGGCATTGAGGTCCTGGATTCTTCTTATCTCAGGGGGCAACTGATTCCAGAGGGTGGGAGCCCCCACTGAGAAGGCCCTCCCCCTGGGGGTCACCAGCCTACATTGTTTGGCTGATGGCACCCTGAGGAGGCCCTCTCTGTGGGAGCGCACAGGTCGATGGGAGGTTGTCGGTAGCAGCAGGCGGTCTCGCAGATAGCTAGGCCCTATGCCATGGAGTGCTTTAAAGGTGATAACCTTGAAGTGCACCCGGAAGACCACCGGGAGTCAGTGCAGCTTGCGCAGGAGCGGTGTTACATGGGAGCGCCATGTTGCTCCCATCACTACCCGCGCTGCTGCATTCTGGACCAGCTGGAGCCTCCGGGTGCTCTTCAAGGGGAGCCCCATGTATAAGACACACTGGAGTATAAGACGCACCAAGATTTCAAAGAGGTAAACAAGAAAAAAAAGTTTTTGCCCTCCCCGGCCTCCAGGAGTACACTGCAGGCCTCCCAAACCCTCTGTGCATCCCATTTTTGTGAAAAACGGGGCCATTTTTCACAAAAACGAGGCACGCAGAGTGTGTAGGAGGTCTGTAGAGTACTCCTGGGGGCTGGGGAGGGCAAAAAAACCCTGTTTTTGCAAAAAAAGGCCCGTTATTGGCCTCCCAAACCCCCCATGCATCACATTTTTGCCCTCCCCAGACTCCAGGAGCACTCTGCAGGCCTCCCAAACCCTCTGTTTTGGGCGAAAACGGGACACGCATGGCGGGGTTTCGGGAGGCCAAAAATGGCTATATTGGGTGTATAAGACGCACCAAAATTTCCACCCTCTTTTAAAGGGGGGGGGAGTGCTCCTTATACTTTGAAAAGTGCAATAAGTCTAAGTGCTATTGCTATTGCTAATAATTTACAATTACAAGATTGAGAGGAAGAAAGCAGGAAACACACCTAATCTTGTCTTATGATTCCCTGGTCTTTAACATTTGAGAAGCGAGCCAAAATATGCTTCTCTAGCTTTGTAGTTCATATTTATTTATCCTTCCATTTCTATCAGGCGTGAGGGAAGACTGATCAAAAAAAAAATCTGTCCCCCTCCCCCCCAAAAAATGGCAAAACATCTTCCTTTCTTCTCCCCGCTTGTGTTTTTAAGGGGAAATGTCTCTCGTGGAATGGGAAAAAAATGCAGCTGAACAGCTTTAGTTCTTCAAGCAAGCACTGGGGAATCCGACATGAGTTGGGGGTGGGGAGATTGTGACCATGTAAAAAGCTGAAAATGGAGCTGAAATGGGTAATGAAGACCAAGGTCTGATGAGTGTCAGAAGAGGACAGGAGGACTTCAAAGCATTGGTCAGAAAGAATCCATATGAGTGTTTGCTCTGTATTTCTGACTCTGACTTTTATCCTGCCTTCCCTTTGAAGGGGGACGCAACTGGAGTGAAATGGAAAGGGAGTTAAAATAAAATCTTTTTCAACATGGACTTGAAATTGCATGCAAAGGGGGGGGGAGAGAAATAAAGATGAAAAGAAGGGCCTTTTGATTGTACAGGAGAAATCCAGGCCTCCATTTCTCTGTAAGGTTTGTGGGGAACAAAGAATGTAATCAAAGTCCAGCTGTAAATCCAGAAGAGGACATCGAAGGTCAATGGGGACTAGTTTGCATAATACCTGTGACAGGTGTTTAAAAACAATTAAATATGTAAGTACAGAGGATCGTCCCTTTCCACCTGCTACCAGAAGCCACAATGGGGCTACGGCATCTTAAGGTTACACCATGTTGATATCTTGTTTTCAAATTGTGGTGTTGAGAGTCCCTTGGACTGCAAGATCAAATCAGTCAATCCTAAAGGAAAGCAATCCAAAGTGTTCTTTGGAAAGACAGATACCGAAGCTGAAGCTCAAATACTTCAGCCACCTAATGAGAAGAGAGGACTGTCAAGCCTGAATTTGATTGGGGTGTGGGATTGTTTGTATCCTTGGACATCCCAGTATGAATTCAGCTCGACACAGCTTGGAACTGGAGGGGAATGGAGCCTTCAGTCAAAACATCATTCCTAGCTGATGAGTCAACCACTTTCCACCATGGGGGTAGAAACAGTTCAGAGAGGGGGGTAGAAACAGTTCAGAACAACAACAACAACAACAACAACAACAACAACAACAGGAATCATCCATCCATCATCTCTTTCCCACTTCATACTTTAATTGCTATGCATTAAAAGAAAGAGAGGAAAAAGGAAAAGCGAATCAGAACAACAATAAACAAGAAAATCGTCTATCCATCGTCCCTTGCCCGCTTCAATATTTTAATTGCTATGCCTTTTTTTTTTTACTTGCCTCCCAAATTCCTCTCTT